AACCACCCCCCCGGAATAAATACATGTCATTTGTATTTTGGGGGGAGAAAAAAAAAAGGGGGGGGGGGGGGAATTCAAAGACTCTCGTTTTATTGTTCCTGCTCTCCAAAATCTACAACTAGAATAACAATAAGGCATTTTTAGCAGAAAATTGCTAACATAAAACCAAGTTAGATGGGGAAGGGACTTCATAAAGAAATAAATAACATTTCAGTAAGTAAAAGCACAGATGTACTGACTTTCCTCACAGCCAGGACTGCAGACAAGATCGATCTAACAAAGCTAATAACCCACAAACATTTGTACTTTTCATGTCTTTATTAAAACAAATTGAGTAATCACTCAAACAGACAGCAGGCTGGAAAACGTATTTGACTTTATTGGAAACTCCCTCAGACGTTTCCTGTTACAGCTGATGAGACTTTCTCAGTCAGGGGGGAGAAATTTTGGAGGATTCCTCCCAACAAAGCTGTTTGAGTTCATTCATTTTTCAGAAAGGGTATGGATCTGAAAGAACCCTCTGAACACCAGGCCGCACCGTCTAAATTAGGAAGTCCGACTTGGCAGCTTTACACCATTGTTTGAAGTTTTGCTGTGTTGGAGTGAAATGAATCTAACGGTATGTTTCATTTGTGACCTGCAGGGCCACTAGTTGAATCTAGTTTGAACCGTTCTCGCAAGACATCACTGAATTTTCTGTATTGCAATTTAATGTGCTAAAGATTTCTCCTCAAATATTCTAAAACAACAAAACCGAAGCAGCAAAGCATCCTCAAACCGAAGCGTGTTTGGAGGATCCCAAATTTTACTAAGCCTTTTGCTTTTGGAAAACAAAACATTTTAGAAAAGATTTAGGTACAGCGGTGATGTGTTCCTGTGATATCGTAGCCTCTACAGATGCTTTTAGCTTGCAGAATCCCTCCTCTTTCCGCCCTGGCCGTCGTCATGAAGTAGTAATGAACTCATAAAAATCAATCTGTCTGGGGATGAGCATCTCAACATCCAGCACTTAACACCTGAGCACAAGCAACTGTTGAAGATGTTCGCTTAGAGGTTCTGTTGTTGTTCTGGAAACGCCTGCAGACGATAAAAAAAAAAAGAAGGGGAAAATACAACTGACTATACATTATTGGGTTTATTTTTGACTAAAGCAAACCTGATTAGTGTCAGAAGGATGCAAAGAACTTTAGAGAAATTGGATTTATTGATTAACAGTATGTCTGTATAAACCAATAAGCATTTGTTTTTGTTTGACAGGGTTCACTGGGGCCTCCTGGTATCCCCGGAACAGATGGACTGAAGGTGAGCGCTCTGATTTAAAGA